TTTTTGTTTTTGAACGGAATTTTCTCCTCGCGATTTTCGGATTATAATAGCTGCATTCCTATAAGATTATTTCTCAATGAGGTGCTCAAAGCACTCGATGGAATTTAAAGCATTTCTCTTGATAAATTTGAGAGGGGATAGTGACGCTTCTTAGAAATTATATTGTGAACGTATTGTAAGTTTAAAATTGTATAATTAATTTCCCGTCAGAAATTCATTAATGAAAAGTCCTTTCAGGAATTAGTACCGAATTTTGTAGAACGAATATTTCAACGAGTAAGATTATTAACCGCCTGAAATAAATCAAAATGTCGAAGCAAATTATTAAATTTAAGCGCTAAATAACTTAAATATTAGACTTTATTGTTTAACTTGTATGTTTCTTTTTACTTTCAAGCCATAAACTATTAAAAAAGCTTTGTCCAACACAGAGTTTCGTTTTTTCAGACTTCATTTATCGCCGCTGCAAAGATTCGTAACGACAGCTACGTAACTCCTTTTAACCAGTTAAATTTCATTTTTGCATTACCAATATTAGAATGTTCTGATTAAAACATGAATGTGTTAAACAGTCAATGATATTATAGACAAATAAGGGGTACATATGAGTTTTGGGGCGCTAATGTGGAAGAGCTTAATAAATAAAGAAAATTAACACTTTTAAAATAAATGAATAAATGATGTCGCCCATGCTATTGAAATTTAGAATAAATTTAATTATTACTGATAGTTTCTGAACTCATTAATAAAGTTTTATATTTTAATGTAAATGTCTCAATTTAAATTCATTAAAAATATTCTCCATTAGTTCAAATCTTAAAACTGTTATTTGCGTCATGTTGTTTAAATAAAACCAAAACAAATCTATAGTGTTTTTCCCAAAACATTACCCCAAAAAATATCTTTCTTTCATCTTGCTAAGAATTTATCTTGAGAAAAGAAATTAACAGTTTACATAAATTATTTAGATTTTTAATGTCACCATTATTTAAATTGCATGCTGTGTTTTTGAAACTAGTTCAACTGATATCAGTAGCAGATTAAGCATATTCGTTCTTGCAGACTCGATCTAAAATAGATGTGTCGGAGTCGCTTTAGTACTATTTACTGCCAACGTATTTATTATCTTTCTCTCTCCTTATCTTTCAGTTTCTTAATTGTGAATTTACTATTTTATCTAGAATAAATGCCACTATTGTTAAAAGGAATAGATATTTCGCAATGACTGGGACCCTTTCTACCCTTTATAAATAAAGGAGAACTCAATCCATTACAAATATGAAAGTCACGCTCAGCCTCCCAGTCGTCTCGTCTACTTACAGTTACCGTAATTCATCAACAATTGTTAAAGCTGACAATGCGCTCACGTTCATGCAAAGCAAGCGTTTTAGTCATATAAACACGACGTAGGATGATCAGCTCAAACTGTTATTAACGTACTATACTGCCGAAATAGCGTTCAAACATTACTTTTAAGACTTTTGGCAATTTAATAACCGCTTGAAAAATAGACAGACTTACCTAATTCTCTCCCCTCTACGCTGAATATTAAAATGATGAACAGCTAAAATGCCAATTTCACACGTTGAAATTATCATAATTGTAATTTTTAGACAACATATCATAAATTATTAACTTTTAAGTAGGTCTGCAAAATTATAAAAGTTTGGACATTAAAATTTATAGAAAAAAGGACGAAAAGTTTCTCCCCACTGAGGATTCAATTCCTGAAAAGAAACTTTATTCTTTCTTCTACAAATCTTATGAATGCTTTAGGCAATGTTACGATATCATTTTTGCAACTTTCATTCATACACAAACATGATTTTTTGCCTCTAAAAATGACTAAAACATTTAAGTCTTACTTAAATCTTTAAAGGTAAGATACCTGTAAACAAGCAATTTAACGTGTTTGAGGTTTCTTCACGAAAAGTAAAGTAAGTAAAGTTTGTTTCGCCGTTTCTTCTCACTTCAGTATCTTTTCTTTTCCGGACCCGTGGTATTATTTTGACTATTAGTAGTTAGTTAATTGCTCCTATGTTGAATAAAGATACTTGAATTTGAACTTTATAGAATTCCTTTAAAGATTTCCCCCATTCTTTTTTAAAGGGCTACAAAAGACACCATCGAGAGGTTGGGCGTAGTGTGTAGAATAAGGATGCAAGAAAAAAGCTTCCATAGACAATTTTTAGTCTATGGAAGCTAAAGTTAATTAAAAATTAAAAACTGTCTTTCTGAAGTTTGATATAACTTGAAATATTAATTACGTCTTAGCAATACACGTATTGTAGTAAAGGCTATATGTACCAACAAATGCTAATAATTGGTTTTCCAGAGTAGCAGCTATTGTCCTCTTCTTCTAGCTATTTATTTCATCTTGAGAAACTTTATACATACATAAAAAACATATAAGGTTTGTTACATGCATGAAACATTAGACGGTCAGGCCTAGCATGACTATCGCTTTGTCGGGATTCGTAGTCTCATCTACGAAACACAAAAGTTATGCAAGTCATTCGCTAACAATCCGTCTGCTATGTTTCATAATACTGAAAGTATAATTCTTGGAGTTTAGTAACTTAAATACCAAAAATTACATATTGAAAAGTGTTAAAATGTAGAGATATTTTAGCATATAAATAGTACTCGTTCAATTACTTCAAATAATATGCTTTTAAATTGAGTTATATAGTTATAATCTACGTATTAAAACGTGAAGCAAAAACTTTGTACCCCTTTTTAAGAAAATTTCCCGGAAGGAAGAGTATGAATTTTCCCACAGTTATAGTTTATATAGAGCAGGAGTGCAGAATGTATTTAATTATGCCTAAAAAATACTTTATATAAATAAAAAACATTACACACACTACCGTGTATCATTAATTATGGTCGGATTTAGACTACTTGTCCACTATTTAAAATTATTTCTTGAAACGTGTCTTTTCTAAAAACACAAGCGCAATATAGTTGTGCTTTTATATTAAGGAGAGGACCCTTCATTATTAAGGAGAACTCCTACATAATAGGATAGAGGCGTTCTAAGGAATTGGAAAGCAGAATATCCACTTGGGAATGTTCTTATTTACGTCCATTTAAGCCGCCTGTTGATTAACAAATTCAAATGAAAAAGCTTTATGTATATCTAATAACACTCATATAATATTTTCATCGCGAATAATCTTAGGATAATGTAGTCAACATAATAGCAGATAAGTATTCAGATAATATCCAAGTTGTGTTGATGTGCTGGGAACCCAACGGACCTTAGGTTACAATAGCAAATGGCACAAATATATGATCTGACCAAAGAAACTGATACTTGCTGCTTTTACTTATTTCAACTGCCTTTGATACCGACCGGGCCCTGACTGAAGTACCCCTAAGATGAAAGGCAAACAAAGTGTCTGCACAAGTAGCATCCCTTGAAGGGCCTCTCTAGCAAGAGAACAAATTCAACCCGCCGGGTCTCTTGCCATCGTGGCGTAAAATGCCACAGGGCTCCAAAATATAAGGAAATATAACCCAAAAAATCTTTATTAAAGCAAAATGTGTATTGTGAAGTATTATTGCCATACTTTTTTTTATTCCTCCCTTCGGACCCGTGTTTCTTTGAAACTTTTACTCAAACCTTTATTTTACAAATTAATGAATCATATACGATCATTCAAGTCATTGTTTATTAGTACACTAATTACAAAGTAGTAGAAATCCCAAGATAAGGAAGTTGATTTATTTGAATATAAACATAGTTTTAAGCCTAAGAAGTATAACTTCAAAAAACTAAAATTTTTATTAGTTTCTTATATGGCCTTATTACGTGTGAATTAGTATATGACATTTTACTTAAATAAGTGCAACAAATTGTAATCAATTTTGAATATTGTCCTCCGAACTGACGAACTATTTGAATATAATTATTAATTTAACGTAATAATACTCATTTTTAATAATCTTATATTGGAGTAAAGGAAGGCGAAGAAGAAATACCTCTAGCAAGAATGATTGATGTCTCCTTAATTAAGTTTGGTAAAAATGGATCATCTGGTTATCCCTTAACTATAAAAGCAATTATTGGTTGTTTCCTTTCGCCAATACTTTTAAAAAATGAAATTATTTGTAAATAAAATACTATTATTAACTGACAGTGCCTCTGATACATATATCTTTGCAATTGATATCATACACGACATTTTTCCATGTTACATATTGTTAATATAGAACCATTTATATCAATTCCATTTTACCAGCCGTGCATTATTACTCCACGAATCGGCCAATAACAGGTTTAATTCAATAACATTATTAATATCAATATAAGGATAACCTTTAACCTATCAAGATACATTCCTGAAGGCTCGAAACTTTTTTTGCAAATTCTGCAGCCTAATATAGGAAAGCTAATCTAACCAAATGTGGCGGATTAAGTAAGAGAGTGAAGATTTTCCCCGATAGGCATAAGAAAGAATAGTCTCGAATAAGCTAGACGTAGATTACTTAATCTACCTTTATTTATGAAGAGCCCGAGGGAAAACAGTTCTAATTCTAATCGAATCACGATTCCCACGGTCTGTCGTGGGAATGTTATTGTAACATGGACATCGCTTAGATACGTGAATCAATTTCCCATTAACACGCCGTAGGTAAAGATTACCTCATAACTTTTCAGCAATTTAAATCTTTTGAAGGCGACCTGTAATTCGACCTGTAATTTTGGTGCATATAAGTTACGGTTTCAACAAGTACCTATAAATTTATGTTCAACCTTTCAATTCTTAAACAAATGAATGCTCGTTTTCACAATCGACCCCTAACTTTAAGAGACACCTAAAAAGTTTTTGACGATATCTCTCACATAATTAAGCAAGTTATTGCTTAATTAGTGATCTCTAATAATTATAAAACTTAGCCTACATGTAAGTAATGATAACATTTATTATAACGTGATTATTTGATAAGCGCTTTTACTTGTGTATCATCATTACTTATTAGCTTTTGGATAAATGCTCTCGATATTATGCGAAATAAACGGTACACGGGTCAATTACGTAAACTATAATATATTTTGTAACACAATTGATATTGAAATGATTATTTGAATTTTAGGTTTTTGAACAATTTTTTTTGTTATAAATCGAAAGTTCATGTACAAGTTTTATACTAAAAATATATTAAAAACATTTTTAATCGCATCGATTGTCGAAATTATTTATAATTAACTTTTAAAAATTCATAAAAATGCCAATTTATTTTCAAATACCTAATTGCGTATTCAAGCTATGATATAGTATAGTATATGTGAATACCACGCGATACTTGCGATCCAAATATGAAAATAATACTTAATTAACAAAGACCAGGGTACCAGTTTTAGTAAATAAATATGTTATATAAGGTGCGTATAAAATAAACAAGTATATTTACCGACCACACTAGACACAAAAATTTTAATATTCAATTGTAATCTCGAGGAAGCTGTTAGATTAATGGGTTTAATCAATTTCCTTAATTTATCTAAATTAATTAATCAAACCAATTTTAGTTTTTGCAAGTAATAAATTTAATTATATGGACTAACAAGTTAACTTAATTTAAAGCTTGGGGACCCAATCAACCTAATTCAATAACGAAATAAAGTAATGATTTATAAATAAAATAGTGACATTTCTAATAAAACTATCCAATTTAGTTAATGTTCACGACGAACATAGTTAACGTGCATGATTGAAGTGTTCATGTGTGGTGTTCGAGAAAAATCAACTTCTCTTTTTCGTAATATCTTTTCCCTCACCCGAGCTTTACCAGTAATATAGTGTTGTGCTCATAGGGAGGTGCTTGTTCGTAATTATAGCTTGTTGTTTTATTGACTATACACAACACAGCCAGGGAGGCTATTAGCCCCAAAGATAACGAATTAGTTATGGAGTCCCTAATGCTAGATTTCCTGCGGGGATTTTTCCAGTACTAGAATAAATATATTGACTTTGAGACCGTGCGCAAACCGAAGCCCTCAACGTCAGTCGCTTTCAACAGCGACAACTCCAACTCGCAGGCGTCTGCGCTCCGTCATCTCCAGCGCCTTCAGCACCGAAAACGATTTCTGATCTCGCTTTGCACGAGTGTCATAGGCTCCTCTGCACCATCCGCACAGGAAAAACCGGCGTTTTCCATGCTTTCGTACCTAACTCGGAAACTCTAAACGAGGCCACAACTATTAACCGCCAATCCGTGACGTCAGCCAAAATGGTAGCCTCGCAACCCACCGGCATCGCCAACGCCGATTTAGCGCAAGGCAAAGAACAACCGAACGCAAAGCGAAACCACTGTCTTCGCATAAGCAGAGAGAAAAGCAGATCTTTGCCAGAGGCAGATCGATTCCACTCTGCTTCTAGAGGCAAAACCTACGCGAATTTAGGTCGCGATACACATATCAAGGTATCCCCTCCGACCACCTTGACGTTACAGAGGGGCTTAGTAGCCGTGGCTTGGTGACCCACGGCCACCGGCTGGTGCCACAGTTTTTATAATATCATTTATAACTTCGGTAGAGGACAAACGCTTTTCCTTTCAATTGAAATAATTTCATAAAGCAAAACGAGTTTTTCGTGCTCAGCATTAAATTAGGTTGTCACTTATAATAATTTTATTAGCTTCTGTCATTTTATTCAATTGAAGACAATAATAATGTTAGGGTGCTTACTTAGCTGTGACTGTGAAATGTAATTTACTTTCACGAAGACAATTTTCAGAGAAGCGATGAAACATAAAAGAAAAAATTTAGATTTTGAACGTCGCTTATTATTTTGATTTTCATCATTTTCAGAAAATATTTTCAGAAGTTACCTTACAAGATTATCACGAACATTCTTGAAAATCCCACAATTCACATTTTGGACATTTTTTCCTTATTACATCAGCGGATTGACGGGTAAGATACAAAAAATCGTAGCTACGAATAATGAACGCAAGATTGTGTCGATGTGTAACACATCAGATGGATGTCCGCTTCGTGGTGGAATTTGAAAAAATAATAATTAAAATAATAATCTAAAATAAAAGTAGCCTAAGTTACTCCTTATTACATCAGCTATCTGCCAGTGAAAGTCCCTTCCAAATTGGTCCAGTCGTTTCGGAGATTAGCTGGAACAAACAGACAGACAGACAAAAATTGTAAAAAATGTTATTTTGGTATATTTACCGTGTATACATCCATGTGCATTTAGTAAAAAGCGGTTATTTTAAATTTTAAAATGAATTTTTCGTTATTATCATCAATATCAATTACATTTTTCTTATAATTAAAAGACTGAAGAACAGCCTTTTTCGTCCTATATAATCTACCGACGGAATAAAAATAAGAAATTTAATTTATAGGGCAAAGTAATGAATCTTTTGGAACGAAAGTTTTCCTTGAGGTCTTGTAGGATATAATACTGATTGAAAACGGTACTAAACAATAAATTATTATATTAAACTTATTTTAAAGTTATAATTTAGCAATCACAAACACAATGGTGGGATATGGTTCGTAAAAGCTCAAAAACTTTATATGGCTGAGGATAGCAAAATCAAAATTAAATCGTAATTATTATTTATAAAATATAAATAATTATAAATTCTGAAAATAATAATTTATTACATATATTAGGCACTTGATGACTTGCTTGGCTTAAACGATTTTCTTAAATTTCATGGACTAATTAAAGTTTTGTAGAATTTTATCTCGATTATTCAATGTCCTAACGCCGAGACAGTTTAATCACTTCAAATTAAGAATAGATGACCAGGCTTTTCCTTTCTTTCGAAAGATAAAGCACTTTTAGTAGGCCATAACGTAAGATTTTCTCTTTCCGCAAATACAACACAATTGATATAAGCTGCTGTACGGGTTTTATCGCGTTTTTTTTTTTAAATTCAAACTCGGCCTTTCGAATATTTCACAACTATCAGTAACCACAGTACTGCTTGATACATACTTAATACAAGAAAGCGTGTACATTTTTCGAAATTTAATTTATATTCTTTATAATTTTTACAATTTAAATATGACATTGCGCTCATGACATTTTTTCACGGGTTCCAGTATTGACGTTCTCCCGAGTATAGTGTAGTTTACAAAAGTGCTAGACTAGACGACACAACCTAAATGTAATATTTATATGTTTCTCAAATTAATTGGTTACTAATAAGTGATTAATTCATTTAACACATTTAAAATTAAACAGTTCTTGTATTACCTACGTAATACATTTTATAGATATGTAGTTAAAACATAACTCTTATGGATCGTGCTTTTACAATAATCGGTAAGACGCTGTATATGTTACAACATTATTTAAAGATTTTTCTTTGTAAGGAACTACTTTGTGCTTGATTATTATCCCAAAAGGGGGTAAGTGGAGATGCTGCCGTATATCGTGAGGTAACATTTTACACTTGTATTTATAATATTGCTGAAAAAGCCTATTCACTCGTTTTAAGGAATTCTGGGTTGTATCTATACGGAAAAAAGATCGCGGATAAAAAAACACCAGATTACCATAAGCCAAACATGTCCTAGAACCAAAACTTTAATTTTCACTATTCTTATATCCAAACAAAAACCAAGTAACCTAACTGCGATACGCATTTTAGAGAAACTTTCTATCGGAAAAATTTGTCATAGTGACACAGTAAACTTATACGGTTTTATGACTAAGAAAATTCTTGCCGCTTTTACGTCAAGATTTTTTAATAGATACATCATGATTATCACTGCTCTTTGAAAAATTTTAACATTGTTTATCAAACAAGGCTTTGAACCCTTATCTCACGGCGAAGCATTTTGAGGAAACCTGATTATTTAGTAAAAGGTTAAAGGAGCATTTCGAATATATAGAAAGTTACCAATATATAATAGGGACAGTGTGATGAACAATTCTGTAAAATATTCTACTGTACATAGAATAGGTATATTATTCAGTCAACAAAAACAGGTCAATATATTTCTTAAAAGCAAATAACTGAATATTACATTCATTCATTGAGTGAGCATTAGAAACTTAATAAATCCCATCCCGCGACCTTTTCTTATGTACCAACAATACGTACCTCTCAGAATCTAAAGCAGTTCCATCGTTTATTGTTCTCCTTTACGGTTTATTTACCTCAAAAGGTTTTATTGCCTTTTCCGGGAAACACTACAACTTTTGTAAAATGACAACGAATATTACACCAATGTATTACTTCCTTACATATGAAATTGGCGTTTTTTTCGAAGTGACCACTTTGATCTCAAAAATGGCGAAAGTGCTAGATAATTATGGCTAATACTTCGATTGATTAAGTATATAATTGATTAAATATTTCATACCTAATATAAAGATTAACAATAATTATTCCCTTAATATTACACCTATTGCAAAATTTTATGAAGAAAAATCATGCGAATGACCACAATTATTTATTTATTTTCAAATTAATTAAAATACAAGATGTGTCACCACGACTGACACTTTTAGGTTAGGAATTAGTGAATTTCACTTTACACGATACTTCGTTTAACATCTAAACATGAATTACATGCCCGCTTTGGTTATTTTTCATTCGTTTATGACATCCTTGACCAAATCCTCTACTCAATTATCCTCCCACCATAAATTTGTTATAAGTCTATCTCTTATAAATGAAAGTACCTGGAGGACCAGTTTTTTTTGGTAAATCATGTATTTTGGCAATAAAAAAAATAAAGAAAATGAGTTGGTATAGAAAAAAAAATAAATGTGTAAATGATCGTGATACGAACCGCGGCCGTCTGTTTTGGGGCCGCCTGATTACTGACCGAGCTATTATAACATTTTTTTGCGGCGAAATTTACTGTCATATTGGAATGATATTTTTCATTCCCTGAAAACAGGGATAAAAGGACACCTAGCTAGATCGATTTTTTCTAAAAATGAAACCTAGCTAGATCGATTTTTCGGCCCCGAATCTACGCACATACTAAATTTCATGAAAATCGCTGGAGCCGTTTCCTAGATTCCGATTATATATATAATATAAGTAATTATTACCTCAACATCAGAATATACTATGGAAATGTATGAAGAATATTATAAACTTACATCAAACTTTGTCATGAAAATTTGTAAGAACAAACATATAGGTGATTTATTCTTTAAAATTATACCCCAAACGTAGCGAAAATTTAGCAATTCATCGAATTTTTGTTTAAAGATAAGAGAATGTAATAAAATGGCAAATGTTGGTTTAGGAGCCTTTTTATGTATTAAGCTGACAGTTAAAAATATGCAGACGTAAATCGCTAATGCCAACAACCTTTTTTATATCACACACAACAGTATAATAGTTCCTTACTCGATTAAAGTAAAATTCGGTACAGTTTTATACATCAATTTCCGTAATGGAAGTCGAATCTTCTTCAAAAATAAAAATAAATGTTGGGCCTCTTTGAGTTATATCTCTTTACACCTGAATGCGGATTAGAGGATGCGGCCAAATGAAAAATGGCAGGCCAAACTTTTTAAGCTCTACATTCTATTTCATTTTGAAATAAAGTACGTATCATTTCAAGACAAGTAAACTAAATAGCTTAAAAAAGTAATTAATTATTTTTTATTGACATAAAGTACGTATCATTTCAAGACAAGTAAACTAAATAGCTTAAAAAAGTAATTAATTATTTTTTATTGACAACTCGGTAGAAAAGATGATTAAAAAGAGATAAACGTAGAAATCACGCAGTCACGTACTATAAGTCTATCAGACTAATAAAACATAATAAACATAGAGCTATCCTGTGGTAGGTCCCTGCAACAGTTTCCTCGATTATCTTTTTTTGGTTTATCTGGGAAAGCGAATTACTGTTCAAGGATAGAAGCATCTGATACGTTTTACGTTCATCTGTAGAATGAGATAACCGGAGTATATCCTGTTTTAAACCATAGCCTGTAACTCTACTGATCTAGCAAATGTCAATTAACAGCTGTTATCACTTAAAATTAGGTGAACCCGAAAACGGTTGCTCCATTGCGATCTTCTCACTTAAAAATCGCGAAACATTAACATTACATGTAAGTTACATTATTCAGGCTGCGATTTTAATTTAATACGTGTGAACGTCTTATCTTTTATTTCCTCATAAACGATTATGGCACTTATTAACACGGCGCGTGCTACCGCTTATAGGAAATTGGCTGTCACCATAAAGTTTCATTATAATGAATTATACTAAATTGTTGAAACACTCAGTTTCGCCTTTGGTTCTAAAACACATAGTCCTCATACAAAATTACACTCTCAACTAAATCAATTAAAAAGAAATACATTTATATACGTAAGATTGTATTTTTCGGTACTATATATAACACGTAAATTTAATTTTTTTTTCATCTTTCAAATTGTAATTTTATAAATTTAAATAACATTAAAATGGTATAATATATAATATAATTAAAATATTATAATAATTGTATACTTCTGATGCAGAG